AGTCAACGGACGCACTGTAGAGGGAAGATACAATAGGGAATCCGTTCTCACAGCGCATCAGCATATTCCTCACTATAATAAATTTGGTGTGTTAAGAGTTCTGGCTTAAGAGGTGGCCAATTGAAAGGAACCTCGATGCGCTGTCCCCAGTCCTTTCAGTGTGAATGTGCGCTAACTGACCGGCGGACTGAAAGTCCAGCTGAATTGTCCATCTTTAATTGGGTCAGTTGACCGCCTAAAGCACGTGAACTCCGAACCAACCGTTTTTATGTAAGCATCTGTTACAAAAAGGTAGGCTTTAGGGCACGTTTTACACGCGTAGACGGACCATTAAGCGGGCAGACCTTGCCGACAAGGACGAGAGAGGCCGGAATGGCCATTTCTGGCATGTAAGTCTTCATCAACCAGCCATGCGGAACCCTGGGTGGTGCACCACCCGATGCTCAGGGTTTAGAGCGCTGGACATCTGATCAAGAGGTTGTGGGGACGAGCCTTAGATGGTGCACCAACCGGGGTTGGGCATGACTGGCTGATGAGGGTTTATGAGCCAGAAATGGTCATTCCGGTCTTCCTTGTCTTTATCAGCCGTGTCTAGCTGCCTTTAATATGCGAGACGCTGGTGGGGTTTCTGGTGGGGCTCGAACATGAGCCCCAAGGAAAAACGGGACGAGTGAGTTCCGTGACCGATCGGTGAGCGTGCATCCACCAAGATTATTTACCTTTGTCAGCCAAAGCGCTCAAGCCCACCTCCGGCTATCGTGATATTGATCCGCCATCGAAGACCCATTGGTGAGGGGGGAGAGCGTTCAGTCAGTGCTGTGAACGTCTGGCCCACCATTGGGTAATTAACGCGCAATTCACCGGCGAGACAAACGGTGGATATGGCTGCTTTCGAAATGCAATTAACTTCAGGTTACGACCTGCCTGCACGTAATTATCCGCGCCACCTCATAAATCATTTGGTAGTCGCCCAATAATAGCTTAAATTTGAAGCAAGCACGTGATATGCGAAGCCACGTAGGCAATAAGGTGTAGTTCGATAATGAATGCTTGCCCTAATGAATACAGTAGGCAGATGGACGGTTAGGTCGGCGTGTAAAACAGTCGCGTATTACACGCTGACCTGTCCTTTGTTCCCCAAGTGGGGTCGTATATTGTGTCCTTGCAAAATTTGTATCTCTTCGACGCGTGTTATGGAAGGGCAATTTAAAGGCTGGTTCCTATCTTCCAGCTAAGCGCTGAGTCCAACTGCCTGTGAAAACTATTCTAGCAACAGAACCTTCCGCTACTTCAGAAAAGAATATACTCCGAATTTAATGGGTGTCCCGGCTTTCACGAGCCTTAGGTTCCAATGGTTTCTTGCTGGACTTTTAGCCCAACAACTTAGCGTCGCGTCTTGTTTCCTTCGCGCTACTAAAGCAGGTTTAACAAAATTGAAGCGAATATGTACGCAGCTCTAATAGCATGCCCACGGTGTTGTATTTTGTGCAAATCGTCCTGGAAACGTTGTTCATGGAACTTTCCTATCTTATATCCTTTTGACTAGAGGACATTCGACTGCAGGAAGCGACTGGACGAAGGAGCTTTGTAAGATAAAGAGTATTCCAGTGTGTCGTTTTGCTGTTTCATGACTCGAGCTTTTTTGGTGGAAAACTAAAGCGCTTGCGAGCAGGACAGCGCATTTAAGGTGTCAAGACAGCGTCAATAAATGGACATGTTTGGACAGATAGAAGTAAGTGCTTACATGTCACCCAACATGCAAAACAGAAATCCGAAGATAACTTTGGCTACAGGATTTCCGGACACCTAGCTTCATAAGAATGTCTATGTCTGAACTATAGAAGGGTTTCGTTGTGCCCAGCTGAGTTTGAGAAATTTCCGTCCGCCCACATATATATCGAGCGTCCTAATTTCCTGACCAGTGATCTTATGCCATCTTGGCTACTTATTTACAAGAGATTAGTAATAAAAACGCACAATTAAATTGATCATTTGTGGAAGTCTGTGTCTTTTAACCTCTTTCCAAACAATATTATGGTTTAGATGGGTGGTCCTCGTCAATCACGCCTACATCTAGCAGATCGTCCCTTGTATGGCATGTTGGCTATACGCAGTTCACAAGATCGTTCTACGTTTTGGACACGAAGCCATCGCCCACCTCTCAAAAGGTCAAATGTGTATAACTATGAAGTTATCTCGGTGTAGACA